AAGGAAGCTCTGGTGACTCATAAGGAGTTGCATTGCTGACCCAAAGGCAGTTCAAATCCACCAGCAGCTCAGAGCAGAAAAAGGTGAACACTCCCCTCTTGTGTGATTTACAGACTCAGAAAACCTGCCGGAGGGTTAGCTAATGAGTTGGTTCCACCTGCATGGTAGTGAGCTTGAACTTTAACTAACATTGAAAAGATTAGCAGCTCCAAAAGACTTACATGGTATCAAGCTCAAAATAACATGATTTTTTGATGCTGATAAGACAGACATTTAGATTTGAAAGTCACATTCCATTTAAAACCAAGTGCTAATGAAATTCTCCACCTTTATTTCAAAACTTTCAAAAGTTCCTCACTTCTCCTCCCCTACTCTCTTCCAGTTTGACCTTCTTCAGACAGACATATGAGTCTCTCCCTCACTGCTATCCTGGCTCCCCTTGCTTTCAACAAGGATGACATAGTAATGTGATTTGGTAAATGTCCTCTCGCAGACCCTACAGACTCAGGATCTGAGCAGAGGTCGGCCTTCTTGAGGGCCAGCTGTCCATGAATTAGCACTCACGGAAAAGCCTGTGCTTCCCTGAGAAGAAGGCGCCTGCATGTGAGCTGGTTGCATGGTGTATGGTAAGAGTTGTAGCTTTACAAAAGGTGGCCCTTCTCAGACTCCATTAAAGGCCCAGCTTCCCCACCGAAGCACGGTGACACCTTAATTAGGTGCTTTATGAGCCTGAGCAGGATAGCATGTACCGATCAAAATGTTGAAACCATTCCCTGCCAAATCAAAGGAGCTCATGTCCTCATTAAACCCCACTAGGAGGAAGAGAAGGGAGGGGACGAAAAGAAGAGGCGTGTTCATTAACAACTTAATGGAATAAAATTCCTAAATTCTGTATTTTCTAAGACATATTAGTGCTTATACTCTCCAGTATAGTTTCAAGCTCTGATGGTTCAAACTCACCAGCTTCTCCTCAGGATAAATATGGGCAGTCTCCTTTTACTGTGAGTTATCACCTTGGAAACACGATGGAGGGTCAGGGGGACTCGGAACCCATTCTATGCCAAGAAGTGAGTGAGTTGGCAAGCAAAGGTACCAAGTGGCAAAGCAACCTTGAAGTGTCAGTGTCACTATGCCATTTATTTCCTGTCTCACCCTGTGAAGCAGACATATCAGGTTCTCGGCATGGTCTAATTTCAAACTTTTTACAAAGCCGAAACATTGACACCTATCCACTTATTCTCCTAATTTTTTTCCATTCCCCTTGCTCAGCAATAGAAAACCCAAAACAATTGAAATAGCAAAGTAGTTCCCAAAGGCTTGAATGATCCCAAGCCTTGTACAAATTGGTGGCTTAGCGGTAAGAAGCTGCGCTGCAATCATAAAGGTTCATGGTTTGAAGTCGCCACCTGCTCCAGGAGATGGATGGGCAATTTTCTCCTATGTAATTTACTGCCTCTGAAAACCCACTGGAGCATCAGGTGTGGGTCAGTTACAACTCAACAGCACACAACAGAGACAAGTCTTGTGCTCATCTCTCCATGTGATATTATCAATGATGATAATGTAGGAATGTAGGAGAAAGGATTTTTAAACATATGCCAGCCTCCAGCAGGTTTTGAGACATAGTAAATAAATCGCATGGTAGGAGATTGCCTATTCTTCCCCTGGAGCAGTACAGCTTCTGACCACTAGGTCACCAGAGATTCCTCCTTCTCTGTACTGTACTGCTGGGGAATTTACGTTCCAGCTGCAGAGAAAAGCAATTCAAAGAGAAGAAAATTCTGGGTTACTAAAACACTTAGTGTCTCTGAGACAGAGACACTAAACTCCATCAGGTATTAGAAAGGTGAAACCAAGAACAAACCAAAGTTTCTGTGAAAAGCTTCATATTTAAAATGAGCAACAAGATAGTTCCTGAAGAACAGAAGATTGATGAGTAAAGATACACAGAGCACTTCAAATACTGTCACATATTTCTACTGTCTAAAGCCATCTCCAAATTCACTTGCTAAGATTGAACATTATCAATCATTTTCTTCTTTTCACTCACCATTGCAAACATCTTCTTATACCTGACAAGTCAATTAAGAAGTTTTTCATTCTGTTTTAAAACTATGGAAGCTGATTTCTCAAGTGACTGTAGGAATTATGATTCAATTCATTTGCTACAAGAAAATTTATATTCATTTTTAGTGGTATTTTCAAGGTCACATGACAAGTTGGGGACAAAGTAAGAACTACAATCAAATCTCCTGATGCCTATATTGACTCTTTCCATTCATGGTATAATATTAGGCACCTATCTCTCTTGGGTCTCTCAATAGCACACATGCCTCTGAGTCTGAATATCCAAGATAGCAGATCATCCTCTGATATGTTGTCTACTCATCCTTCAGAGCCCAATAAGAGGGTGGACTTCATTATCCCAGACAGCCTGTCCTGCTCATGAGAACAGCAGAAAGTATACATGCTATCCTCCATAGGTCCCGTAAATGACAGCTAGGATGTGTTTCTTGTGGTATGGCTTAGTGGTAAGGCTTTGCACTGTCCACCCAAAGGCAAACAGTTCAAATCTACCAGCTGTTACGCAGAAGAAAGATAGGCAATTTCCTCCTGTGCCTTTTTCAGCCTCTAAAAATCCTCTGGTTCCGACATGATGGTAAATAACAAGTGAGACTCAATAGCCCATCCGCTCCATCTTAGGACACTGAAGCCACCCACCACCGCAGCCCCTAGTCCCATCTTGACATGGTCCCTCCTCACAAAGTCAATCTCCACAGTACACTCACTCAAGTGCCCTCTTAAAAAATCCGGAGTCAGTGTTGCACAGGCTCTGTCTCCCTGCACACCAGAAGGAACCATCTAGGAACTACCTGTTCCATGAATGACATCTTAGCAGGCCAGCTGCTTCTCAAAGAGTTTTCTCAGATGGAACCACAACAGTTGGTAAATCACCTCACTCTGAGGCTGGCACCAAACAAGTGTGTTTTTAGTTATGTCCATTTTATTTTCTCTTTTTCTCTTTAGCTATTTCCATACATTTATTTCATATATTATATTCTTTCTTCAAAGCTTTGCCTTATAGCTGAAATTACCTATAGAGCATCCCTAACTTCTTTCTGTATTGAGTTTTATGGAAACAACCATCATGCATTTGAACGTCTTTAGGGTTTAGAATGACTCTAAGTAACCGGTTTGGTCATTGCTCACCAGTCTATCAGCAAGGAATGACAAGTGTGACTAAGTCTCCCTTAACCAAGAATTAGTTTTCTAGAAAGTTCTTTCTCTATGAATTCCTGACTTACTTTAATAAAAAAGGATCACCTTTTAAGAAACTGATTGCATGGCAAAAAAAAAAAAAAATGGATTCAGGAGCCAAAGCATATTTGACAAGAGCTTAGTGTTGGCCCTGCCATCTATTTTGTAAATACTTAAACTCAGAGCCTCAGTTCTTCAGGTGTAAAGGGATAATAACAACATCACCAGGAAGTAATGAATCAAAAGTCATTAGAAATCCATGGGTTTGAATTAATACTCATAAACAGCTCCCTAGACATAAGCATTTCTGAAGAAAGATAGATTTTCTAAGCTTTTTACCCAACCATATGGGAAAGACAATCTTTATTATAGTGTACTTAACTACTATCTTCTTAAACTCAGTGTACACAAGACTTGAATATCTTGTGTCTAATAGGTGCTCACAATGAGGCATTTTCTATTCAACTTTCTCAAGGACAATGGAGTTGTATTTTTAAGGGAGGTCACTGATGGTTAGGGTAGCTTTTTGATCCCACGTGGGTTTGTCACAGTTGAAGATACAACCACCATCAAAATGGTGAGCAAACATAGGATTGAAAGACCTTTCTTTTGGAACAGCCCTTTTAGACACTGGATTTCCTGGTTCAGAACAAAGTTTAGAGAAGTAGGTTTCCCGACAGCCTGGTTGGCACAGGCGTCATCCCTCTTCAGTGGGACGTGACTATGCCACATGTGTGGTATTGCTGGAGCTTCTAGAAAACCTGGAAGCCACACATCCAAGCCAACTGAACCTTTGCCTTTTCCCCTAGAGCAGGGGCGTCTGGCTCATGAAGTCTTATCATCACACACTACTCTACTCCTGAATCTTAGCAACTAACTAGAAACTGGAATTGGGATGTTAAATGTAATGAGTGCTGCCCAAAAGAAAGAAGGACTCTTATGAATATCTATCAGTGCTTGTCAAAACATCTTTTAAAAAATGTTTTAAGGACCATAATGTTGAAATATAGATGAAAATTCCTGAAACCAGGATGTGATTTCCTTTAAGAGGGAGCTCCTCCAGGAAACAATAAAGATATTTAAGGTATTAGATTCTAGGGGAAATTAATAATAACTGTTTTCTGAGGGGAAAGCAATAAGGGATGGAGACCACTCCAGTACACTCTCATACAACCATCACTGACTCTAGCAATAGGATCTTGCCCACAGTGAACAACTCGGAACTTAAATAAATCTCTCACCAGTGAAATAGACTTTTCTTTAAAAAAATAAATCAAAGAAACTCTTAAATTAACAGCCAAATCTTTTGTAACTTACCCCACTTGTAAACATTACAAAACAGAAAATATCTACCTAGACAACACTTATCTCAGATTATGACATTTCTCTGTGTACTTAAACATACAAGAACTCTCAAAACTTGTCACATTTCCATACTAAAAGGCATGCTTTTTTTTAACAGAGTCCAGAATTTCCTAGAAGTTATGAGTGGTGTCCAGAAAAAAATTTCTATTATTAAATGAATCATCAGAACACCTCATCCACATATATAGTTCTTCACAGATTCTCTAGTCTCAATACACATAGGAAACTAAAAATAACTCTCCCAAATTATTGATCTACACATATCAGTGCTGTCCAAGCAAACCCCTCCCTATGAGCCACATCATCTCACATTCACGATAACCATCCATGAAATATAACCTTGCCCAAAAGTCTGTGAAGACCCCAAATTCACTCACTTGTCTTCTGTGAAACTTTTCCCGGTGATAACGTTCTTCCCTTGGGGTACATAGTTCCAGTACTCTTCCACAATCCCGATGTAGTATGTTCTGGTAACTGCGCCAACCAGTCCGGACAGACCTAGGAATGTGAGAAGGATGCAGCCAACCTGCTGCTCCCGAGGCATTTGTGAATATAACTCAGGCAACAGGCTGCGGAGGAGACAACCCTGCCTGTCCCTCCCCCTCCCTCAGAGCTAGTTATAAATAAGGAATGGACAAGGCCCAGCTCCTCCTCCTAGGCAGCTTGGGCTTGAGACAGACTGGCAACTTGTGCAACCAGAACAAGTTCAATGGGGGGAGGGGGGTGATCTGATGACAAATTTTTACCAGTCATCCAAGAAATGTGTAACTGGCTTATTTATTTACTGCTGTGACATTAGCCATTCGTTTTTGCAAAGATCCTGTGTAACATGGATGGATTCACTGGTTTTCCCCTTTTTTCCCTGCTTCCCCCCCCCCCATCACCACCAACCTTCACTCCCACCTCATGTCCTATTCCAGGAACATATTAAAATTTGAAAAGTGGGCTGGCCTGAACAGAGCCCTTCACTCCCACCTCATGTCCTATTCCAGGAACATATTAAAATTTGAAAAGTGGGCTGGCCTGAACAGAGCATCAGGAAATATCCCAAGCTCTAGAAGCTTCATCTTGGTAGAGAAGGCAGGGGAGCGGATGATGCAATCATCCTCTGCCATCTCCAACTTGTTTTATGAGGCTACAGGCAACAATCCACTCACGTTGTAAAGTTCACAGCAACATTATAAAGTCCCATCAATTGTCCATGTGCTCATGCACTGTGTCCCCCAAATTCTCTCCTTGAAATGCCACCAGCAGAAATGAGGAGCCTGGACAGTCAGTTTAGCTAAACTTTTAGAGTCTAGCCCCGCCCCCCCAACACACTTAATCCCCTGAAAAAGTCTTTCTGAGGATGAATGAAAATGGCAAAGGAGAAGGACTCTTCAGGTGCATGGAGACAAAATTCAGTAGCTGATCCTGGAGTCTAAAAGGGAAGGGTGTGTCCGTTCCTCTGGATGCTTGAATCTGTGACCTAGAATCTCAGTGTTGAAAGAGATTTGGTCCAACCCTGGAGGAGAGCTTATCTCATCCCCATGTCGAGCTGCTCTTGAGGAAGTAGCCATGGAATAAAAACAGCAGCCTCCTGAGCTTTGAAGGTGAACAGACCTGGATTTGAACTCAAGTTCCACCACTTAATAATTTAGTGTCATTGAGGAATCACAACATATCTGGGCTTCATGCCTGTAAAACAGGATAGAAGGATTGTCAAAAGGATTAAAAAAAGGCAATGGCTTCAAAGTGCCTACTCTGACCCCTCTGACAGAGTGGGCGCTTAATGAGCAGTAAAATCTTTCTTCCTTAACCATATCTTCCAGAAAAGACTCTGCATTGGCACTGGCCTGTATGTTAACACATTTGAATTTCTATCTATATCTTCCTGCTTGCTTTCCACTACCTCTTTCCAAAGGGCATACTTGTGGCCTAGTGGTAAGAAGCTGCGCTGCAATCCCCAAAACACATGGTTCAAATCCACCAACTTCTCCATGGGGAAAGGATGGGAAGTCTCCTCCCATGCAACCTACTGGTCCTGGTCAGCTATGGATCAGTTTCGACTCGACAGCAAACAACAACTTCTTTCCAAAGTGTCATCTGCTATGCCTCCAATCAGCCTCAAGTGAGTCTTTCTTTAAAGTATAGCTACTCCACCAACCCCCTCAACTCTCATTGTGGTGAAGTAGGAAGTGCCTCAGAGCTGGCTCTTCAGCAGGTTTCTGAGGCTGTAAATCCAATGCAAAGAGATTATCCACTTTCCTCCCAAGGTGGGTTGGAACCACCAGAAAAATGCAGCCTTTGAGTTAACAGAACAACTCCATACTAACTATACAAACATACTAACTACCAGAGAGCCCTTCCCTTTGGCAAAATGGCTCAATACTTTCTAAATCAGCTTATATGATGACTTGATAAAACATAACTACAATGGAGAATAAAAATCAACTGTATATTATTGAAGTGAAATTGACAAATCAGTTGACAGGTGGTTTTGCTTAAGAAACTCTGGTTGAAATTGTAAACAGCTTTAGTTTGTTTGGCGCCACAAGCACCATTCTTGGTACCAGCAGTGAGAAAATTAAAAGACTAATTGCATTGGGAAAGTCTGCTGTCAGGGACTCTCCAGAGTAGTGAAGAGCAAAGATGTCAGTCTGGAGACTAAGGTATGTCTGATCCAGGCCATGGTCTTCACAATTACTTGCTATGCATCAAAAAGCTGGACAATGACTGGGGATAATAGAAGGGGAATCAATGCCTTTGAGCAGTGGTGCTGGAGAAGAGTATTGAATATACTATCCATGACCTACTAGGAGAACAAACAGGTTCATCCTAGAGAGAGTGCAAGGATTCTGAAGCTCCATCTGACAACTTTGGGCATGTTGCAAGGAGGGACCAGTTCTTGGAGAGGGAAATCATGTTTGGGAGGGTAGAGGGACAGCACAAGAAAGGAAGACCCTAGATGAGATCGATTGACTCAGTGACTGGGGTAATGGGGAGATAGCTGTGTCAGAGATAGAGCAGAGTTCAGAGCTGTTGTACATAAGGCTATACAATTCATGCTGCACATGAGTTGCAAGCGACTCACCAAGACATAATAAAAACAACAATAAATTCAATGTTGGCATCACATAACGAAAAATGACTGAATTTATTACTCAGAACTAGATATGCAGCAAGATAGACCAAGTCAAGAGCTCCAGAGTAGCTGTGGCAGACAAGATCCATTCATTGCAGAGAGTTTCAGTTTAGAGGTGAAAAAAAATTCTTGAAAATAGGACTTCCTTAAAAATTCCTAATAGTCTTCCTTTCTGTAAGGCAATGAAGACGCTACTCAAAGAATACCTGAATTCTATAAGCTAAAGAAAAGAAAGAATCTGATAAAGGTGACTACAGTTTGGAGGCCAGGAGAAAGGGAGGAATAGGTGGAGCATAAAATAGAGCCTTTGAAAGGCAGTGAAAGTACTGTCTATGGTGCAATAAGGTGTATGCAGGCCGTTATGCTTTTGTCAACCTTCATAAACCTGTGTAGCACAAAGCTGTTGTTGTTGTTATGTGCTGTCGAGTTAGATCTGACTCCTAGCTGACCCTCCAGTGAGTTCAGGGACTGTATAGGAGGAGAGTGCCCTTTTTACTCCTGCAGCATACCTGATTTGAACTGCAAGCCTTTAGGTTGGAGGTGCAACTCTAGTAGACCACCAGAGCTCAAAAAGTAAACTCTAACACAAACTATGGACTTTAGTTAGTGATAATACTTCAGTAGTGGTTTGTCAATTTTAACAAACACAAGATGATAGAAGCATGGGAGAGACTATGGAAATCTGTACTCTCTACACAATATTTCTGTAAGTTTAAAAGTGGTCTTAAAAATCAAGTGCGTTTTAAAATATGAATGTAGTGCTCCTATAAAATTCATTTCTGAAGATCCATTTTTAAATACAGGATGTGTCTGACAAAGTTTAGAATATGAGGAAGGTATCTATAATAAGATCAATAAAGGCTTTCAATTCAGACATGACTATTAAATATTATGGTATCAGTCATGACATTATTAAACTATGAATAAAATAGGAAAACTTGGAACTTCCAAAAGCCCTGGTGATGTAGTGTATAAAGTATCCACCAGTTAGTTATTCTGCAGGAAAGATGGATTCTTTCCTCCCATGAAGATTTACAGCCTTGGAAACTGAAAGAAGGGCACTATATGACTCAGAATGGACTGCATAGCAGTGAATAATGGTGAGGTGCTGAAGCCTACAGATTTCGCTTTCATTTTCCCCATCCACGATCAGGCTCTAAGGTATGGTAAACTCTACATCATCTTTGGATAGAAGAGAAAGATAATCCTGTATCAAACCAAATTTCTCAAAATATTGTGTGAACTCACTCTTCTTTACTTGAGTTTGACTCCTAGAGAAACTCTCTTGGTGTCTGGGAGTATAAATGTTTTGGGGAGGAGAATGTCCATCTTTCTCTGACAGAGCCACTGTTGGATTTGAACGACTGAAATTTCTCATAGCAGCCTGACATGTTATGCTTTACACTACCAGGTCTGTTTCAGTGGAAGAAGACAATACAGTGAAATGTTAGATGGCTATGTGTGAAGTGTTGTTTAAAAATAATAAAGAGAATATGAATGACAAATTGGCTGTACCATTCTTGAGACTTTTTCCTTTTGATAAACCATATGGTAAGACATTGTGTTCTATTGTACATAGGGTTTTCGAAGGCCTGCTATTTCAAAAGTGGATGGCCAATCCTTCTTCTTAGTCTGTCTTAATCTGAATGTTCAGATTCAGAACAGTATATGGCAGACTCGCATTTAATGAAAAAGAACAGATGAAAGATATTTCTCCAATTGTAGAAATAACAAGTAGTTTCTGTGTTGCCCCCACCCTTGACACATGTGTCTTGACTCACCCATTTCCATGTTCCACCAGCACTCCCTTCAACACCTATCTCCTGCTGAAATTGAGGAGGACCTGAAGTGCTTATTGAAGGTCAAATACTACAGCTTTCATTATGGATTGAAGCTCAATATCAAGAAAACAAAGATTCTCACCACTGAGAGCATTGTGATGGATAGTGAAGAGATTGAGATTGTAAACAGCTTCAGTTTGCTTGGCTCCACAATCAAGACTCTTGGTACCAGCAGCCAGGAAATTAAAAGACTTATTGCATTAGAATAATATTATAAGAGACTTCTCCAAAGTACTGTAGAGCAATGATGTCAGTCTGGAGACTAAGGTACACCTGATATAGGCCATGGTCTTTGCAATCACTTGCTATGCAGCAGAGAGCTGGACAATGACTAGGGAGGATAGAAGAATTGATGCCTCTGAGCTGTGGTGCTGGAGAAGAGTATTTAATATATCATGGACTGCTAAGAGAATGAACAGGTTCATCCTGGAAAGGGTGAAACTAGGCTGTTCCTTGGAGGCAAGGCTTCTGAAGTTTCGTCTGATATATTTTGGACATGTTGCAAGGAGGGATATGTCCTTGGAGATGGACATCATACTGGGGAGGGTAGAGGGACAGAGCAGGAGAGGAAGACCCTCGATGAGATGGATTGATTCAGTGACTGGTGAAATGGGGAGTAGGTGTGGCAGAGACAATAAGG